TTGGAAAGTAGTTAATGTAGGTGAAGAGTGAAGATCTATGTCTGAAGTGCTATTGCAGCTTTTCACTGAACATATTAACTTTTTATTTGATTTAACTTTAGAAGAAAACTTCGTCGACTCCATCATCAAAAAAATTTTTACTTTTTTAACGTGTTTTATTATTTTAATAAACAATTTTAGAATTTGCGTGCACAGTTCCTATGTAAATTTTTCCCTCATTCGAGTTATAAATTTTGCCAGCAGATGGTGTATGCCCATTTGACGAATTCCAATACAATAAGGTTTTTAATTCTGTTACATTGTAATGAGGTTTTATTGTTTTCTATAAAATGTAGTCAAATCTGTTTCTTAATTTTGTACCAAATTATTCTAACCAGAAAATATTTATTTTCTTGGTTTTGAGCTGTTTGAGTATTAATCTGACGGTTATCCTGCCAGTTCTATATCCCTGCTTTTCGAGAAATCCTACAGGAGATTAACTTTTTTTGATTCCTTTTTCTATTTGCGTGTTGACCGAACGCTGCGCCATAACCCACTTTTTTTTAGAACGCATTGGGACGTACTTTAACCTGATATATGAAAACATTTATACGTTTTGTGTAACCAATTCTTCCTTTTTTCGTAAACTGTTTTTATAAACTGCCTCGAGAATGATGTACATTCTACACAGAACAAATACACACAAGATAGAAAAAAAAACCTTATCCTCATTTAGGGAGTTTATAAAAATGTATGATATCTGGAAAAATAAATTTTCATCTGTAAGAATCATTTACCAAATTTTTTGTGGGTATATGGAAAAAGAAAATCATAAATTATACTTAGGATTTCTTCACTGTTTTGTAAAAATTTTGTAGTTTTATTTTAATAATGTTATATGTATACGTCAAAAATCTGAATTAGAATCGTGCAGAGATGGCTCAAGAAATTTGAGGGAATGACTAATTCGGGTTAAGAAAAAAAAGGGGAACACGTGGAACTATATTAGCTTCACGGATGAGAAAATGATGGAAAAGGAAGTCAGATAATTCAGAATGGAAGGAACAGTAGAGATATAAAATAAATGATAGCGCAGGGTCGAGTTGCCTTTATCAAAAAGAAGTCACTTTTATGCTCGCGAAAGGTTATTTTAGAAATTCGAAAAAGAGTGTTAGAGGTATATACCTACTCTAGACTCTACAGCACGGCTTTGTACGGATGCGAAACGTAGACGGTTAAAAGCAATTGAAATGTGGGGTTATAGGCTAATGGCGAGGAAAACTAGAAAAGGGTAAGTCTTAGAAAAAGTAGATTAGCTTAAGCGTGGAGGTGCGTGTCCAACCAGTCTTAGGACTGACGATAAACTCTAGAGCACGACTTTGTACGGATGCGAAATGTAGACTGTTAGAAGCATTTGTAAATTAGAAATGGGGAAGTCTTAAAAAAGTAGGAGAACAGGGAGTTACTAAGAAACATCGAACTAGGTTAGTAGAACACCTTGTCAGGCATGAACTGCTAGTCAGAGATGTACTAGAATATTAGAAGCAAGAAAGAAGTAGAGGTAGGCTAAGATTGGGTTACTGTTCAAAAATATTTAACGATGTGGGATGTTCTAGTTTTAGGGAAATGCAAAGATTAGTTAAGGATAGGAAAAAACCAGGCTTATAACTGACAACCCTAAAATGATGATGAGATAATTTTCGTTAAATTAATATTTGTAATTAACTTACTTTTTAGATTAAGTAAAATTTACTCGTTGTATATTACTAATAGCATAAACGCTTTCTACGTAACACGGTAGGAGCTCCACATTATAAGGGATGTGTTCCGAAATATAAGCCAGCATACTGGCCAGTGCGTCGACGCTAAATTGACGCCATATTGAGAATAGTGTTTGTGCTCGTTTACAACAATTTTGCTCCAAAAGTTTCTTACAATAAAAAATTCTTCAAAGTCTGACGCACACACGCCCGTTTGATACAATACTTCATCACACTTGTCTCACCAGTACAATATGGTGGCACACCAGTACAAAATGCCGTTGATTCATGACCTCATCAGCACCTAGTCAGTATGCTGGGGTATATTTCGGAACACACCCAAGTTATATAAGTATAAAAAACTCGTTTTTCGAACAAATATGTATAAGGAATTACACACTATTATGTAATTGATGGAAATTGTTACCTTATCGATGTCTGGCCAAGTATCTGGAGATCCGTCGCCTGATTGAAATCCCTAAAATGCAAAATAAACATTATAACAAGTACCATCCCAAACAGTGAATTATCTTGTACAGAGTGTTGCGCCCTTGATTTTTTAAACGTACTTGTTTGTACATAACTACACCTACAACTATAGGTAGACTACCTACCACAAACTGCAAAAATTAAAATTAGTAAATATAAGAGACTGACCTGAAATCCAGTGTTGCACTGAACTGCTGCCATTGACGGATCAAAATAGAGTTTAAGTTGCTCCAAGGCACCCTTAAAATAAATTAATTTCGAAGTATTTCTTAATTATCATATTTAAATAGGTATCACAACACATCTACTATAAATTACTTTGCACAGGCAAGATTATCTTTGTATCCTCTCTTTTTGGGAATTGAGGATGGCACCTTAGGTAACGAAACACATCTTAGATAACTAAATGTTGTTTAGTGGAATTTCGGGTGTTTTAGTTTTTATTTGGTTAAGTTCCACAGTAATTCTTCGGTTTGATCAGAAATTTATTAAGAATACCGGTGGAGTGCTAATGAGATCTAATAAGATCGAATTCGCGATTTGTGTCTGGTAGTTTCGATACATATTTGATTAAGACAAATGGTGTTGTTAGTAAGTTCATTTTAAAACTTGAATGAAACATGTAATGACTTAATTTCATTTGATGTAAAATATGGTGGATGCGCCAGACACAGTTAAGTCAGCTGAATATTAGNCTCCAAGGCACCCTTAAAATAAATTAATTTCGAAGTATTTCTTAATTATCATATTTAAATAGGTATCACAACACATCTACTATAAATTACGTTGCACAGGCAAGATTATCTTTGTATGTTCTCTTTTTGGGAATTGAGGATGGCACCTTAGGTAACGAAACACATCTTAGATAACTAAATGTTTTTTAGTGGAATTCCGGGTGTTTTAGTTTTTATTTGGTTAAGTTCCACAGTAATTCTTCGGTTTGATCAGAAATTTATTAAGAATACCGGTGGAGTGCTAATGAGATCTAATAAGATCGAATTCGCGATTTGTGTCTGGTAGTTTCGATACATATTTGACTAAGACAAATGGTGTTGTTAATAAGTTCATTTTAAAACTTGAATGAAACATGTAATGACTTAATTTCATTTGATGTAAAATATGGTGGATGCGCCAGACACAGTTAAGTCAGCTGAATATTAGATTAAATGTTGTTTGGGGTCTCAACGTACTAATATATTAAATAATTAATTTTCTTGATTGTGATTGTTTTTAAATGAATTTTTGTACTTTCTATATTTTCTGCAACTCTGAGATACTTCATCTTTAATCTGTATAGTCTCCACCAAAGAAGCTTCAACATCATAAAGCGAAACGTCGGTGTGATTGTACATTAAATAAAACATTTTTCGCTCTTTATTGAAACTGTTTTTATTCGTTTAATTTTTAATCATTTGTTTCAGTTTCAATGTTTGTTTAATAGCTTTATTAAATCAAAATTTTCAGAAGTAACTAATTACTTCAATTGGCAGACTTGGAGAAAATGTTTAGCTTTGTTTTTCGGTTAGCTTTAGTACTAAAAATGATTTAAAACTATTTTGAAAAACGTATTTCGATGAAAAGTTTAATTTTCTACAACAAAATAGTCTCGTAAAAATCTTGAATTTTGGTTTGCTTTCGAGTTATTTTAAGAAAACTGAAAACGGGGCATTTTCTGTTGGTATTTAAAAATGCACCCTTCAGTTTAGTAACACTTCCTGATTTTACCATTTCGAAGGGTCAAATCAACAAATTAAATCATAATACCCTTTGACGCAATGTTGTTGATTACGTATTCATAATTTTTCGATAATCGAATGTGATGTTACAATTACTTTTTAAATTAGATCGTATGACCTACATATGTCGATGACGTAAATAGAATTTTTCAGTATTTTTACTGTACCTTGTCACTATTTATGCTTTTTGGGAAATATTAAATATGAAACTCGTTCTCGAACAGTTTTTTGATTTAGATCGCTCTCTGTGTTCAGTCATATTACATAACGTGTTAAAATCAATTCAAATCAACCATATTTACTGCTACAGAAATTTACAGAAACTATTTAACTATTTATCTATTAACCCGTATTGCACAACAGCGACGAACGATGATAAAATTATTATACCACCGAATTGATTTAAACGATTTCTGTATTCCCTCAATTGTAATTTTGCATTAAATTTTCTGATATAATTGTTATGATAACGATTTGCAGTTCCAACCAAACGGTCGCACGTAAAAGTTGAACGAATCGTGATAATTACATTTGATATTCATTAAATGGCATTCTTGTTTCGATAATGTGTTTCGCAAATAATTGGCCCCGAAATGTTTGTTTTGGAGCAAATCTGGCGTAGGTAAAAATGAATTAATTGTTTCGTTAAACGATTGAATTAATATCGTATAAAAATAGTAAACTGTGAATTGACCGATAAAGCATATTTACGAAATTTGAAGTTAAGTGTCTAACAGAAAGAGGGCAACGTATGTTCTGGGAAATCTATAAAGAGGTAATGTTTAGATGTGAGAAGTAATCTCCGAAGTTACTCATTCAGTTTCAAAAATTCTCTCAGCAATATTGAGAATAGGATTTCAGGGTGAACCTGGCCTGCACATTTTACAGTGTAAAAGTAGAGATGTGCAAAATATTTTTTTAAAAATATTTAAATACAAAACGCAAATACTTTTTTGATTTGATTTACTTCAAATGTTTGTTTAGCGTGAAAGATTAGATAAAATTTTGTTGATATAAAATCAACATCAATCATTTTATATCAAAATATTTACAACCCCATTTTGTTTCCGATCTTTTACACATTGTAATAAGAAAAAGAAATGGAATCCATAGTTTCTTTAGCTTTGGGTTCATGTAATAAGTGAAGTTTTGCGAATTGTTTTCTAAGAATTTTGGATTGTAAGCATTTATTAAAACACCACAACATCTTGTAGTTTTTTAGTTGTACACAGCTAGAGTACATAAATTCGTTATTTTGCGGGCTGTTACAATTTCGTAGTTTCTTGCTAAAGGTACGATAAGTGGTGATTTAGCAGGTGCTGATATCAATTTGGATCTTCAAAATTCCATGGATCATGACATTGAACCGGAAATCAATATCGATCCAATTTTAGATTATCAATTTCCAAAGAGTTTAAAATTTTTTGGGCTTTCTTCAATTAAAGCATTCAAGGGCATTCATTGGATGTCTCTTTGTCTCTTCGTCATTGTACAGAATGTTTGATAGGTGATACTAGCAAAACTTTTAACGGTAAAAATATATTTTGCATTTTACAAATAGAAAGTATGTTTGGAAAAGTATTTTAAATGCTTTTCTCAAAAAAGTATTTAAATGCAATATAAAAATAGGTATTTTTTATTTTGTATTTGCATTTTAAATGCAAGTATTTCAAATAAATCAC